TAGAATTAGGATTTACTGTGTTCAAGATTTGATTTGAAGTAAAAGAGAAAGGAGAAGAGTCAAGCATCATTAAAACAACACTTGAATATGAACTCAAGCAAGAAGCTTCAGCCAATGCCTCTCTCGTTTCCATGGCTATTCAGGAGGTTGCCAATGTTGCTCAACTTGCCCAACTTCATCTCAAAACAAAAATAAAAAATAAAAATGAAAAGCTTGCAACCCAAGCAATCTTAAATTATGAAAATCATGTAATTTATATGTGTGGTTGTAATTATTGAGTGACTTTGGTGATATTTCTCTTTAAATAAGGTCTTAAGTTTGAGATATGCAAATAAAACACATGCACACACGCATATTAGTACAATGGCTTTACATATATGTGTCTTGCTTAAGCAGAGAGTTTGTGAGTGCATTTGAAATTGTTAAAAATTATTGTTTATGCATGTTTTTTTAAATTAATATAAATATTATTGTTTATCAAAGTGTTATTGGAATTTTGGGGGGAAAATATTGTTTATCATTATTTGACTCAAAATCGATATTCAATATTATAATAAAAAACAAAAAAAAATAGATGCCTCCTTTTGTTGCATGAAAAAAATGTTTCTTATCTTGCCTAATGGAGAATGATAAAGAGGTTAATTAATTCAATTTAAGTCCCAAGTGTTAACTTTTAAAAATTTATAAGTTTGGCTCTTAATTTTATAATTTATTTATAATAAATTTGTAATTTATTTTTTAAAATTTTAACATTATTGAAGAATAAACAAATAACAAAATTACAAAACTGAGTATTAAACTTGTAAATTTTTAGAATTTAATAATTGGGATCTTAATTAAATTAATTGCAGGTAACCTATCCTGAATCAGGAGCCATAAGAAAACTCTAATTCTTTCATGGCCCCTCCATTTCCATGTAGCATTATAAAGGGATACGCAGAGCTTGGATTTCCAATATGCCCTATCATAAAATAAATATCCTTAATTGAGATATTACCAGAACTACTACCACCCCAATATGTAATAATGCATAATTAACTTCAGAACATCTAGCAAAACAAAAGACCCGTTTGATTATCAGAAAGGATGAGAATGGCATGGATTAAAACAATCAAAATAAAAATGAATTATTAAATCCATGATGAAACTCAATATTATATAGCACAAATGTGAGAATTACACCTTTCAAGAATCTCATAAATCTAATTTCTAACCTCATAAACTAAATTACTCTTCTTCCTTATAAATATGATTCACCCATCCTCCTCTATATTTTGATAATCTTATTTTTATCTTTATTTTTTCACTCCATGCCATTTCATTTCTTTCTAACAACCAAAACGGGACCTAAGCCTTGTAATAATGCATAATCCCACTGGCCATTACTCACCCAATCAGTAGTTAGAGAATTAATTTCTGGTTCCAAGATAGGCCTCATACATACATCCTTATTGCAAAAATTGGGTTTAATCCAAGGGTCAGAAAAGAATTTTACCTTATGGCCATCCTTCACTCGCTAACACATACCAGGCTTGATGATGTCTTGTTGGTCACAAGTGAACTTCCACGTTGGTTGGAGAGCCATTGCTCTCGACTGGCCACGTAGCAGCGTTCCGAGGCCTTATACATTTCTCCTTCAGAATGTCAGCCCACAAGATCCATCAGAGACCAAGCTAGCCTTTCTGCACAAGAAGCTGTATTAAGAGAAGAAAGCTTACGAAAGCCTAGGCCTCCGTTAGCTGTAGGAAGACATGGTTTGTCCCATCCAATCAGATAATGTGACATTTTCTGTGTAAATCTCTTATCACTTTCACAAGTGTACGAGATCACAGTAATAAATTACTCAAAGTATTTCAGGTGTGGAATCACAGAGAAGTTACATTTTTACTAATTTAAATAATTAATAGTTCAAGAAAAATAGATAAAATGAATAAATTTGATGAAAATATAAACAATAAAAATAAATCAAGAAAATAATGATGATGAAAACACAATCACTTAAAGCGTTGGGATTTAAGATTCACCCTATAGGTTGCTAGTTTCTACTATTTGAGTTGACTCGGATCAATTATAGTGATAACTATTCCTAAAGTGTCCTAATATTCTCCTGAATTATTAGTCCCTTTTTAATTAGTGTTGAATTCGTTCCCATGATACCCAAGCAATTAATTAAACTGTGAAGCTATAGTTTAAGTCACCATAAATTTCTAGAACTATCCCTAACCTAATTATTTATGTTTATTTCTCTATATCTAGATTCTCTCTTCACCTCCTAGTCTATCAAGATTACCCATAGACTTGATTAAATGGTGGCTAGTCATTAAATCAATACGAAGAACAAGAGAAATATATACAATTGAGAAAAAGCAAAAATATTCATAAATATAAATGCAAGGAGTCAAAGCAAAGAAAATAGAAGCCTAGAGAAACACATAATAAAATCAAATAAAACCATTCTAAAATTCTCAATCATGAAAAATAATCATAGAGAAAATTAAGGAGTAGAAGAAAAATAATTATAATTCATAAAACTTCTCAATGATCTCGCTTTCAACCTTCAAAATGTTTCTACGAGCTCCAAATATCTCAGAGAGAATTCTTGAGGTATTCAAATAAGTGATTGGATGCCTTCCCTCTTGATGGAGGGAGTATTTATAGTTAAAGTGGAGGCTCCTTCTTTTGTTCCTTGTCAATGTGGAACTTTGATATATATATATTTCTCTTTTCCTTCTTTCTTTTTATTTGATTTATTCTTTTTCTCTGCAAAATATAAAGATAAAAAAATATAGATAAAAAGATATGAGTGAATTTTGTATTAAATTTTCTTTTTATTTTATAATTAAGTGATAAGGAAAAAATATATAAATATCAATTAAATAGATATGAAATCTTAATAAATATAATTAAATTCAAACTAAAATTTATACGCATTTAATTATAAAATATGTACTTATCAATCTCCCCAAATGAATCTTCTTTACAAGCTTTCAACTTCATTGGAAACTGTAACAGGCACTTTAGCCACTTGCATAGGGTAAATAGGAATAGTGCTTCAAAAATTTCGAGCTAATGTGATTCTTCCTGCCAGAGAAAGACAAGATGACTTCCACTTGCTCGCACCTTATCAAATATCAACAATATACCAAAACTGGTGTTTTCTTTTCTTTTTGGGCAAATTTCAATGTAGACCCCAAGACTCAATTTAATTTTAGTCAAAGCCTCTAAAATTTTAAAATTTTATTACATATGTGAGGAAAATGAAATTAAAAGCTAATTGAAATGATCTTATTGTCCTTAATACATGAACAACTGATGTGCAAAAAATAAATAAGTGACGTATAGGAAATTAACAAATGGCACAAGTGGAATTTTCAACTCTCATAGCATAACGTCATTATGAATAAGTAAAGCTAAGTACAAGAGCAATTCATGTAAGAAAAATGAACAACTAACATAAGTGGGATGATAATAGTTACCAATTCTTAATAGTGTTATAATGTTAATGAGATGTGTAAATTTTTTATGCATTAATTATTCATTTTCCTTATACAAGTTGTTTAAGTGCCAAACTTCACTAGGGATAATAAAGTCATTTTAGCCAGTTCTTTAATTTCATTTCAACCTTTCAATTGTGCAATGAAATTTTAAAATTTTATGAGCTTTAACTTAAGTTGGGTGAAGGGATCTTCATTGAAATTTTCACTTTCTTCATTCCTAACAATGCTTCTAGTCTCTTCCTTTGTTGCATCCAAACACTGTGGGAAAACAACATGGAAGACTTGTTGAGATTCACTTTCTCACCCGAAGCCATGCAATTTTTTTTTCCTTGTGGTTAAGCATACGTTATATTTGTGGTTCAGTCCCTACTCCAAGCATTAGAAGTAGAGCCGGAAATTCAGGTGGGCCGGGCCTATTCAGGCCGGCCCGAGTAAGCCCGAACCCGAACAGGCCTGTGTCTTTGAAAAGCCCGAATAGTTAAGCCCGGCCTGAATTTTTTCGGACTTTGGGCGGCCCGAATACTTAAATTTAATTTTTAAAATTATTTTTAATTATTTTTTACTTTGAAATTAATTATTTTATTTTATAAAAAATATAAAATATATTTTTTTAATACTCAAATGATGTCTAGGACTCAAATATATGGTATTTTAGTATAAAATGATCTAAAATTTAAAAAATTAATTAATATTTATTATATTTTATATATTTTTTAAAAATATAATTTTTTTTATTCGGGTATTCGGACCAAGTCCGAACTCAATCAGGCTTGGCCCGAATTTTTCCAAGCCTATTCGGGCCTGAACATAAAAAAACATCCTTTTTTTAAGCTTGATTTTAAAATTTTTCAGACTAATTCGAGCTTAATCCAAACTATCAGCTCTAATCAAAAGGTTGTCGACAAACATCAAATAAGAAATCATCGGGCTGCATCGAGTAATGTTAATTGGAACCCATGCTCCAAAGTATACTCAAAATTACCAACACACATTTTGTCAAAAAAAAAAAAAAAAAAAGCGCGCGCGCGCTGTTCCATTGGGCTATTAATGGGCCTTATATGGACTAGTCGATTAGGCATCATACTATAACGTTCATGATGTGGCTTTTTATCTTGTTTTTTCTAAAATAATAATCATATAAAATAGCGAAAAAATTTGTATATAAAATTATTGCACTAATGTTCAAAATAAATTTTACAGGTTATTAATTTAAAAATTTTCATATAATTTATTTTTTTAGACAGAATGTATTTATATGTTTTAAAAAATCTATATAATTAATTAAAAAAACAGAATAATTTGATTTGATTGTCCGCAATATTCTTCCAATTGATTACATCCACCCACAGCTTCACAAAAGAAGAAAGGAAAAAAAAATCAAGTGGAGTTGAGGACTGCATATTTTGGACGTCAAGGGGAATCACTGTGATCACAAACTCTAAAGCCAAAGATATCCATATATTTGTGCCCACATAACATTCTTTGCCTTCATATAAACCACACATTACAATTCAGAAGAAAACAACTCATCAAAGAAGCACAACAATTTAAATTCTGGAGATATCAAGCTATTGCAGTGTTGAGAAAATCAGAGATGTCTGGGCATCTTGAGCATGAGCTAGAGTTGGGCGTTCCGGTGACCAAGGCATGGGACCTCTTCGGTTCGCTCCGATTCGGAGCACTCCTTGAGAAAGAGATGCTAAGTCTGTTTCAGAAGGTGGAGCTTGTTGAAGGCGATGGAGGAGTTGGAACTGTCCTCAAATTAACATTTGTTCCTGGTAAATATCTTTAATTACTTTTTATAATAAATTCATATAAATAATTAAATTCATATAGGTGAGTGTATATATCTTTTGTTGATGTTTTGATAGCAGCATGCACCATAGCTAGGTATCAGATAATTATATAAAAAAAATAAAAAAAAATTGGGTATGACATATAATGTTTTTTCAATATTCTTTTTAGTTTTGGTGTGAGATTAAATAGGTACATTGGGGCCAACCTCTTACAAAGAGAAGTTCACGAAGGTAGACAAAGAGAATAGAATCAAGGAAACTGAGGTAATTGAAGGAGGATATCTGGAACTAGGGTTTACTATGTTCAGGGTTTGCTTCCACATAATAGAAAAAGGTGAGGATTCAAGCATAGCCAAATCATCGGTCGAGTATCAACTAAAGCAAGAGGCTTCAGAAAATGGCTCTATTGTTTCCAATGCTATTCAAGCTCTTGCCAGCATTGCTCAAGTTGCCAAACTTCACCTCAACAAAAACAAGCTTGCAAATCAAGAAAAATAACTATTTGGCTTTGTATTTGGGAATATAATGTTCCTTTATCTATAATTTCCACGTTGAATTTGAGTCCAAATCATCATTTTATCTTACTATAATTTAAGTTATAATGTACTCTATATGTGAATCTTTTTTTTGTTTGTTATTGTCTTATTACTTTTGATTTTTTTCATAAGTAAAATCACATACACTAATAAGCATTTATTATAAATTTCTTAAATTACCCCTTATAATTTACAATAATGTAAATAATGCATACGTATATTGATTAACATAAGATATTTAATCCAAGTTTGTTTATTTTAATATATAATTATTTTAATTAATACATTTTTTCCCTACATATAAAAACAGACGAACGGAGAACGTATTAGGTGGGCATTGTTCTATGCATTAATTGCATGGGGCTCAAGAAAGTTGAAACTTGAGAGTCTATATATGCGTTCAATTTGCAGCTTTTATTAGGTTTTGTATAATATTCTTAGCATGGAAACAGTGTTTATATATCCTTAGTAAATAAGTATAACGTCCTGTTGTGCAATGGCAAGGTTAAATCCTCTAATACCGAAATAATCATATGAAATTTTTTGTGTATGCGTATTTTTATATGTCGGCCGGCATGTATAAAATTATCCAGAATTATTGTGTGTGCGCGTGTGGGATTTTTTTTTTTTTTCCTTTGTGATTTGATTTGAAAATCGGTTGCCATTTTTTAGTTAAAAGCGTGCCATGTAGCTACTTTCCAAGTGTGGTGGTAATATATTTTGATACTGGTTTGAATTTCTAGACAATAATTTATTGTGATTATTAATTGCTAAGAGAAAAATTAAAAATTTACATATTTTTTTAATAATTTTATGGATATAACTGCCATAATTAATAAATGTGAAGTAATTAAGTTTGTCTTATGTTCTTTCCATTCTTATATATAAAGTGTTTTTAAATGAATATCGAATATAAATAAAAGTTTGTTATTCAATTGAAGGCACATAAAACTATCATAATTTTTTAATTTTTCCCATAATAATATCTCAATTAATATTGTGGAGCTCACAATTAATATCTCTTTCTTTTTTCAAGACAATGAGGGCAAAATTATCCAATTATTTAAAAATATCAACAAGCTTCCAAAAAATATCTTATATATAAGGAGAGAAGGAATATTAAGGACAGGATAGGGATAAAAATTATTAAATTTTGTGTTGCCCAATACTTACGTAAAAGTAAAAAAGGAAACAAAATAATTAAGTTGGGGACCACGTATTTTGGAAAAATCCTATATATGGGAGGCATATCGTGGCCACGCGAATTAAATTAGAATCACAGTACACAAGATTTGTCCCCAGGCACGTGATCTTTCACTGTAAACATATAAACCACACAACATATAGAAGCAGCTCAAAATTAAAGCAGCATGGAAACATTCATATTTTTGAGGAGCAAGGCAGTGTTGAGAAATTCAGACAATTGCAAACATGGCTGATAGTATTGTTGAGCATGAGTTAGAGCTCAGCGTGCCGGCAAGCGAGGAATGGGATCTCTTCGGCATGCTATGATTCTGAGAATTCGCCAAGCAAGAGATGCCAGAACTGTTTCAGAAGGTGGAGCTTGTTGAAGGAGATGGAGGAGTTGGAACTGTTGTTAAGATAACATTAGCACCTGGTAAATATTTCACTTTCTTTCCCTTCTTAGAAATAGACATAGATGAGAATATACTTTTTTGTTTTTGTTTTTGCAAAACATAGTGAATAATGACAGAAATATGGATGCATTATTCGGTCTAAGTATAAGTTGAATATAAAGTTAAAAGTTATTTTTGTTCCTAAACTATATATAAAAAGTCACAAATATCTCTAAATTTAATTATGAGTCTTTTATGTCTCTCAATTTTAAAAATTTCCTTTTTCAACACCTTCACGTTAGAAACACTTAACGTCTATTAGTTATCAATGATATTACTATATTTTAATATTGTTTATCAGGTTAAGAGTTATTTTTGCTCCTTAACTCAAAAGTTTTATAATAAAAAATGTTAAAAAAAATAATGTGAGGCTCATTAATAATAAACTAATAATGAAAAAACAGTAAGGTGATGAAAGAGAGAATCTTTAAAGTTGAACCATGCGTGCGTGCGTGTTATAAGAATAAGTGTAAGTTATTTTGTCCTGAATTTTAATTAATAAAAATATTGCAAAGTATTTAATAAAAATATTTTTAATGGAGTTAAAAATTAGATTAAAATGTATGTTACACACACACACACTAGGCTTCTCTTGTAAACAATACACACACATATAAGATGTCTATATAATTTTAATATATATATATATATATATAGAAAAAGACCACTGGTTTTTTTTTTAATTTTACTTTGTCTCAATGATACATTATTTTTAGCAAGTATTTAAAAAATAATATTTTTAACTTCTAATTATTTCAAAATAATATTAAATATGACAAGTTAGGTCAGGGTATGCATTGATTGAATGAAACAATAAATATCAAGTCAAGTTAAGTTATAGTGTTGGCCTAATTAATAAATATGTTGTTAATATATTTTTGGTTAATTAATTGAATTGGCTTTGGTGTGAGATCAACATTAATAGGTATACTAGGGCTAAGCCCTTATAAAGATAGGTTCGCAAAGATAGACAATGAGAAGCGGATCAAAGAACTAGAAGTAATTGAAGGAGGCCCCTTGAAGCTAGGGTTCACTAAGTTTAGGGGTTGGTTTGAAGTGATAGAGAAAGGCGAAGAATCGAGCATGATCAAATCTACAATTGAGTATCAACTCCAAGAAGATTTTGCAGACAATAATGATACTGCCCATCTTGTTTCTGATTTTAATTATTCAAGCTCTTGCCCACATTGCTCAAGTTGCCAAACTTCATCTCAACAAAAACAGAACAAAACTTGCACATTAAGCAAACTAAATTCACGCATGCATGTATGTTTTGAAAAGTTGGATTTAGAAGAAGGAGGATGAATCAAAATTTAAATTCTCATTAAAAAATGTGCTTACATTACATGTATTTTTTTGATCACACAAGCATCTTTGTTAGGAGACATACCTATATTTAATATTCGATTGTGTCTTAAATAATATTGTGTCTCCAATAGAGGATTCAATATGTTTAATTTGCATGAAGTCTGAGATAAATCACAATAAATGTATGCATATGCTTGTAGAATTATCAAAATTATCAAACAGTTACAAAAAGTTTATGTGCTTTGGCAGTTGATCCTTTCCACCGAGGAATTGTAAGTATTCAAGACTTGTGAATTGTGTGTGTGTGTGTGTGTGTGTGTGTCATAAGGTTTTACACTTTCATATGATCCAACGTGAATACGTGATAGATCAGATGAAACGAAAACATACTCAAAAAGTATATAATTATCATGCACATAGTTCTGGTCACGCATTTTTTTGCTAAAAAAAAAAAGGTTCTGGCACGCGTTTGAGATATATTAGAAAATATTATTATTTATGTATTTGTTGGAAGTTATTACAAAAGTTATTGTATATTTCAATGCGTGTGCTTGAAATTATGAAGAAAATTATTGTTTAACTTTAATTATTTAACTCCAAGTCTTTTTTTTTATCTGTTGATGATTTGAAATAATTTCACTCCACTCTATAGTGCCGCATGTTTTGTTAGCGTTCTGATATAATATGATATTTTTTCCCCTCATATGAATGCTAATATTTTTCTTAAAAAGATATTATAGCTTTCAACTATTATTTGTAAAATTAATTAAACTGGTATTTTGAAAAAATATATCAAAAAACTTTTGTCAGACGTTAGGATTTTATTTGATTTATTATTTTACATAAAATTTTGAAAAAAATATTGTTAATATATTAAAAGGGATATTAGCGACAAATCAAATTTCATTTGATTTATTATTTTATATAGAATTCTAGATGTAAATTACGAAAGTCCAATTAAAAATAATTAAAGATTTGTTTTGGTCTCTCTCTACCTTTTTTTTTTTCAAAGAAGAAATCATATAAACTAGTCATGTGCCAAATTGAAGCCTGTCCCAACGTCTATGCGATCTTTCATATGAGGACAAATTAAATATTATGCAACAGTAAAAAAATAAAAAATCTCGAGGCTGATTGATTACATCCACACAATACTTGACAAAAAGAGGAAACAGAAAACAACAGAAGTTGAAAGTGATATAGTGACCACAATTAGAAATCTAAATCTTAATACTTGTCCCCTTATTGTATGATCTTTCATTGTGATCATATATATGTTTTGTCAGTGATTATATATGACATTTGTTTTAAAATTTTGAAAATTTAAGCGGTCTTAATTTTCTTATAACGTCATTGTCTTTATTTTCTTAGATTTATTTATGTAATTCTTTATATCTTTTTCTTTAATTTTAGCTAACTGTAAAAAATAACTTTCATTAATGGTAAGGATGTGCTATTGCATCATTAAATTTATCTTTTAGCAAAGGAAAAATATAATCATCAATTTCTATAATTTTATTAAATTTTACTTTTAGTCCTTGTAATTTTTTTCAGTATTTTCAGAGTCTCTATAAGGATGAAAAATACTAAAAAAAAACTGAAACTATAGATACCTAAAAAACAAGTGTCACCCAATTTTTTTAAAACTATAAGGACTGAAAACATTAAAAAATAATTATAGAAACTAAAAATAAAATTTGATAAAATTATAGGGACCGATAATTATATCTTCCCTCTAAGAAAATTTAAATAATAACTTGTTCAATTCTATGAGTTATAACCTTGTGTGTGTGTGTGTGAGAAATATCTCATTTTATAAGTTTTATTATATACATATTAAAAATTTAAATAACTATAATTATTACCCCATACATTATGTATGTTAAAATTTATTTTAAAATTATCAATAAACATGTAACTCAATTGGTAAAAGGTTGTATTAGTTTAACCAGTGATTTCGAGTTTGAATCTTAAAAATTTGTAAGTGGTTACACCCTAAATATTAGATAGCATATTTTATAAGTTGTTACAATTTTTTTTTTTGGGTTATATTTCTATAAGTTGTTACGTAAGCTTATTTTATTTCAAAATTTATAACCTACAAGCATATTTAAACTAAAATGAATTTAAAATTTTTTTAAAATACTTATTTATATTGTGTTAGCAAGAGATCTTGATATTATAAAATTTAGACAACAATACATTTATTTTATAATTTTCTCTCCATATTAAAACTTTAAATGCGATATTTCATTTTAAATTTTATTATATATGTTTGTGTATTAAAATTTAAAAAATATAGTTAATTCCAAAATTTGTTATCTTACGCTTATTTTATCTCAAAATATAATATCCTGTTATATATTTTAATAAAATATGATTTAAAAAATTCAAAATTATTGATTTAATTAAATTCACATCTTTTGGAAAATCAACTATCACCACAAAATATCATACAAAGACAAGCACACACGCAACAAACTTGAATAAGAGAATTATTAATGTGTTAATTACAGACAATATTATGAAAAAGACTCTGATCGGCGCGTGAAAACGACTATGAATATTACAAGCGGGGGTGCGCAGGTCAGGGATATAGAGTAGGGGCCAAATTTAATCTTATTAACTAAAAAAATATAAGATAATAATTATGTATAATTATAAAATATTTTTTAAAAATAAAAACATATATGTAATATATTAGTTTTAAAAATAGAAAGAATATATATATATACACGCACACACATATAAAGTGTACACTTATAATATACTTAATCAAACATCGATCAATATACATGAAATTTAAATAATGAAAAATAAACTTATTCAAGTTTTTTTAATAATTTAGGAAAAAATAAAAAGCCTGACAAACATATTTAATACAAATATTAATATTTATTCTTTTTACATGAAGAGCTGACATGATAAATTAATAATACAAACAATATTTGTATAACCTAGTAAAATATATATTTTATACTTATTTAATTTAATAGCAATATATTGTATTTATGTGTTATAAAAAAAAGAAATTGTATTTATGTATTTATGCATGTATATGAATGTATGTTTGTGGGGTATGGAATTTTTTTTTAATATAGGAAAGGTGTGTTTTTTTGGGGGAGGAGGGCTAAAATCTCATTGACCATGGCAATTACCCCCAATATTTACTAGGCTCTTTTTATTCATATACAACATTATTTTATAATGAAAAATATTTATATATGCTTAATATTATATATTTAAAATGTGTGTTTTCAATAAATAAATACATGCAAATTTTTTATATATTATTTATTATGATCTAACAATGTCTTATTATTAAAATTATTAGCACTTTACAATCCATTTTTTCTGATTTGATTGAACTAAAATTTATTTAATATATATTGCTAAGTGTTTAAAATTACCTCTGTAAGAATTTGTTAACACATGTAAATTAAAAATATAAATATAATTTTTTATGCATGATTCCCACATAATTTAAAATTTAAATCAATTATTTTATTTTAAAATTTATTTTCCTTGTTCAATTTTTTAAAATAAATAACAAATTATTTTATTTAACAATATTTTCCCCACCCATGTAATTAAAAATCAGGATATGTTTGTAGTGATTTTAAGATTAAGATAAAAAAAAAACTTGTTTATACTGCTACCAAAACAAACATGTTTATACAACAATAAAAATCTTAATTTTTTGAACAGAAATTCATTCATTTTAACTTAAAAATTTTAAATAATAATTTATTATATTTAACAAGTGTTTACACCATAGATATTAGATAGCATATTTTATAAGTTGTTACATACATACATACATACATACGTACATACATACATCAATATATATATATATATATATATTATTCCAAAATGTAAAACCTTGGCGCATATTCAAACTCAAATGATTTTAAAAATATTTTTTAGAAGCTACTTTCTTCTATTGTGTTAGTAAGGGACTTGATATTATAAAATTTTGATAACAATATAAATATATATATATATATATATATTATAATTTTCTGTCCATATTAAAAATTTATATGGAATATTTTATTTTAAAATTTATTATATATGTATATATTAAAATTAAAAAATTATAGTTAACTCCAAAATTTGTTATCTTACTCTTATTTTATCCCAAACTATAACATCCTATTATATATTTTAATAAAATATGATTTAAAAAATTCAACATTATTGATTTGATTAAATGCATATCTTTTCTCAAATCAACTATGACCCCGAAATATCATAGACAGACACGCACACACGCAACTAAACTTGAATTATTAATGTGTTAATTACAGACAATGTTATGAAAAAGATTCTGTTTGGTGCGTGAAAACGACTCTGAATATTACAAGAGAGTAACATTAATTACAACATCTAAATTTGGATGCAAGCATGTTTTCCAATTTCCATGCTTATAAAGTCAAGTAACTGGTCCAACATTTGTTAACCCAGTCGACAAGATTTGGCTTATGACATATAAAGTTACAGGATTAAACTTTCATTGTCGATGTGAAGATTTTGTTAACCAATATACAAAAATATACAAAGATATTTGTAAGTGTCCTTTGAGTTTGAAGATGCACATCTTGATTATGATGAATTCTTAAGAACCAAATTATGTAACTTTTATAAATTAAAGTCATGTAAGTGCACTGAAATTTTAGATGTGTAGAATGGTTTAAATTGATTGATATTATTAATTTTTTAATGGACCTTTTTTTCGAAAAAAATTGAATAATAAATAAAATAGGGATATAATTTAAAAAAATTATAAGCCCTATCCAATGTTGACATTGACGGACACAGGACTGTAGATATGCGGGAGAATAAATGTAAAAATAATAAAAAGAAAAATTCAAGTACCGTTGTTTTTTATTAAAAAAATATAAACTTATACACCAACAAATAATAAAGGAAAGTAACTCAATGACTTTAAAAAATACAACTCTTATAAATTATGGATGAAATTTTTAAATATT